ACATCCATTGTTTTAAACACTCCACTTACTGCTTTGACTCATGGTGACAAACCTCCAGCGTTGGATCGTTATAGATGAAAGCTGCTTCCAAATCATTGACCCTCACTCTGTAAATCCGGCATTGTTTACTGTTCAATTTGATCCTATTCAGGTTTGCAACTGTGGGAAATATTGTCAGTTCCACATAGCCCTACGAAAACACAAATCAACATTTCCTTTAAAACCTTTGCCACTTCCTTTAAAATCTTTGCCATACATTAAAAATAAAACAAATCAAATGCATTTCCAGAAGAAAATCATGGGCAAAATATTAATTCTGTACCTACAAAATAGTATTTTCCTTGTAGACGTCTAAAATACATTTTATCTCATATAATCTAACAGGTGAATTTTCCCAGTCACAAAATACATAATAATAAAAATCAAAACTTGAAAAGGACAGATAACTATATTTATTTTACTGGAAAATATTTGCCTCTGCTGACTAGATATCAAGTTTATTACCAACCTTTTTCTGCCCATGTTTTAGGCTTTGGCATCTAAGCCTGAAAAATGACTCTTATAATCTAAGTAGACTCCATTCAGCCATACATCCACATTCACAAATAGTCTCAAAGGCCTCTTCAAATCTCATGAAGTCACATGCAAGCTACAAATAACTTTATCCCTAACACTAACTAACGTTGTTAAAAGTTAATTCTTGACTGCAGATTTCTTTGCAGTATTATCCACTTTCCTTTAGAAAGCTTTCAGAAAGCTTTTCCTCACAGAGGTTAGAACAATCGCTATTACAGGGTATACGAGGCATCTCTATAAATGACAGACTCAAGAGAAAGCATAAGAAGCTGAAGAACATAATCAGCTTGTGTGTGCAACTGTTACTTCTAAAATCATGAAGGAAATCCACACTTTCCATTTCTTCTTTCAAATTTTATTGAGACATACTTACTACAACAGACTTTCTCTGAAAATTTATGTTGTTGATACAAACTACCTGGTGAGTCGTGCTGGAAAAAAAAAAAAAATTAAAGTAAGGTTTTGCACAATTATCAGTATTTAAAATAATATTCCAAGAGTTATAAATAAACAGTGATCATACAGTATATGGTGTAGACAAATTCTGCATACAGCATGCATTTGTGAGGAGAGAATTTGCCACGGCCTATGTCTCTCACTTAAATAATTCATGCTGCATGCAAGGCCAGAGAAGTTCCAATAAAGGCAAAGTGTAGCATCACACCAGTACAAATGGCACTAATAACATAAGAAGGTAATTCCACAAGGTTTTGAGTGTTGTGTACGTAAATACACAGCATTACTGATAGCTTGAAATCAAGTTCTCATATTTTAGTGATGGGCAAATCGCTGTGGTGCTGTGGTGTCCCTGTTCAGTGCAGAGGAGTTGGGCTAGATGGCCCTCAGAGGTCCCTTCCAACTCTAAGGACTTTGTGATTCTGTGATACTAATATTGGAAATGGGATGCAGCCTGAACACTTGCAATCTGAGGAACCTAATAAGTTGCTTCTCATACACCATTTATGCAAGAGGGTACTACGTGCAAAAAAAAGATTATAGTATGCATTTTTACAGTTAGAATGTTATAAAAATTTATTAGACAACTGTGATATATTAATCAAGATCAGTATTGTAAACAAGTCAAACGTATTCACTTAAGTTTTGAGTTGCATATTAGAACTCTCGGTAAATCAAATTCTGATTTTCTAAGAGATAAAACAGTAACTCCAACTTGTAAAAACTTTCAGAACTTATTTCTATATATTTTCTGCAGTTGACAGCATCTATTCACCACTTCAGACTACTGACTGAAGATACAGCCTTATATTGATGCAGCTTTTACACCATGTCACACACTGTACAAACATACTCATGATTGTGCATTAAAAAAGGACTTGGCTTCAACTGAGAGACTTCAATAAAAATCCTACAAGAAAATTAAGAAAATCTAGTATTAATGAATTCAAACACCACCTACATACCAAAATCCCTAAGATACCATCAGTAGTTCTGTTTAAAATTATACAGATTTATAAGGAAATCATAAACTTATTAAAAAAAAAAAAACAAAAAAAAAAAACACATGAATCATAGAATAATAGAATCATCTGGGTTGAAAAGGATCACAATGGTCATCTAGTTTCAATACCCCAGTTTCAATACGTGCAGGGTTGCCAACCACAGACCAGGCTGCCCAGAACCACATCCAGCCTGGTCTTGAATGCCTCCAGGGATGGGGCATCCACAGCCTCCTTGGGCAACCTGTTCCATTGGGCAACCTGTTCCAGTGCCTCACCACCCTCTGTATGAAAAACTACCTCCTAATATCTAACCTAAGCCTCTCCTGTCTCAGTTTAAAACCATCCCTCCTTGTCCTGTCACTATCCACCCTTGTAAACAGCCATTGCCCTCCTGTTAATGCGCTCCCTTCAAGTACTGGAAGGCCACAATGAGGTCTCCCTGGAGCTTTCTTTTCTCCAAGCTGAACATCATGAAAGCATGAAGATTCTCTGACACATCAACCAATTTCTTTATAATTTGGCTATAAGCTAACTGTAAAAAATGATCATTTGCTCAGACCTCCTCAGCACAAATGCTAGCTTTTATTTATAAATATACTTGTGTTCATACATTAAAAAGCCTCTGAGACTAGAGGGCCTGACACACAAATAACAACGAAATGTGATAGCATGATCTGTGGTGCTGATACTGCCTGGAAAGATCTCTAAGTTCTGAGGAGCACAGTGTAAGTTTCTTTGCAAAATGAGACTGCACGCTTTACAGCCTTTCTGTCCATGAGATCGCACAAGATAAACCCCAAAACATGCATGCATTGAGAGTAAGCTTCTCCAAACTGGAGTTTCAGCTCCTCCGGTGGAAAACCACCGCTCAGCCTGGGGCCTGCTCCAAACGCATCAGGATCCGAAGTATAGCAATCTTTTAAGAAATAGATACTTATAATTTGTATGGCCTTGGGCTCTCAAATCCTTTGTCTCCTTTCTTCCTGTTCATCCTGACCAGCAGCACTACGACACACCACAGGCTGTCAGAAGGACACCAGCATCCTCCTTGCTCGGTGGCTCCCGCGGCTTTTCCCCGTGCCACGCTGCAGGCGATCCCTCATCTCCACAGCAGGTCCGTGACTGACGGGTCAGGCATCTCCAGCTCGGCTCAGCACCATGATTACAACACCAACAACGCTGCCTTTTTACATAACCCTTTACGAGGTAACTCGCAACCCCCTCCTTCTGCTGGAGTACGATAGCAGCTCGCACGGCGGCTACGGGAACCGACCGGATAACGGAGAGCGCCGAGGGGCTGCGGAGCGGCCGGGCGGACACAGCAGCGCCCCGCTGACAGGACGCCTGACGAGGGCAGGGGAGAGACGGCGCGGGGCCCACGGCTCGGTCTTACGGACGCGGCTCCGGGCTGGGCTCCCTCTCGTCCGGGGTTGCCGGGCAGGGCCGAGCGGGACTCCCTCAGCAGCTCAGCCGCCTCCCGCCAACGCGCCCTGCCGCGGCAGCCGCCGCCATTTTGTCGGCAACCTCTCACCCCGCCGGGTGAAAGGTCACAGCCAGCCCCAAGGAGCTTTGCTTCTTTGAGAAGCCAAAATCTCCAGAAAACACATTTTGCTTTTCAAAGCGGCGCCACGGTGACTCTCTAAGGCAGCCATAAATAAAAATAAAAACAAAAAAAAGAAAACAAAACTCCGAAAGTAATCCAAGAAGCGCATGCGCTCCGCGCGCCTCTGGCGCAGCCCCGAGCGGGATGTGTGCGCATGCGCGCAGCCTGGGAGGTGGTTGCGTCGCTGCGGCGGGAAGATGGCGCGGGTGGGATAGAGGATCCCGCGGTAGCGAAGTCTGCGTTTTTTGGTTCCCATTCGCGTTGTAGGTTTGCAACAGCAGTAGCGCCCCAAGGGAAACGTTAACCCCGCCGGCGTGTTCGGTCTCACGGCAAGGCCGAGGTTAACTGACAGCTGTGTGAGATACAGCCTGGGTAGGCACGAACGCAGAGGGACGGTAATGTGCCCCCCTGCTTCAGGCAGGGCTCCAGCTGCACTAAGCCAGCACTTCGGCTCCAAAACCTGGTTGCTTAATCCCGTGTGTGACTTGCTTGGCCCTAGGGAAATGCCAGTGCTGGACAAGCACTTACTGGTACTTGGAATGCACGAAGTTACCTATGGGCCAAACTCAAGGTTGTACCCAGCAAAGATCGACAGGAAGACAGTAAAAGGCTGCAGTCCTGCCTTTTGATTCCAAAACCAATTTAAGATGCTAACAGTGCTGCCCAAAACTTGGCAGGAAGAACAACAACAACAAAAAAAAAAGATGGAGTCTGTCACTCTTCCTTCACACTCTAGTTGCCCTGTGGAGAGATTTGAGTTATTACCAGAACACAAAATTTAATTTCTTCACAACCAGCTACTGCTTCTTATATGCAAGTTTTGATTTATCTCCTTTATGTTAAAGTTAATACATCAAAGAAGCTGATTCTGTTATTCTTTTCACTTCTGTTCACAAAACACACCAGAAATATTGTCAACAACAGGTAGAAAAATCACACGTTAAAACACTTTAGATATATTAAATCATTACATTAACTATTATGATACAGCACTACTCCTGTAATACTTAAATTTTGTTTCACAAACAAGATCTAGCATAAATATACTGTTACATCACAACCTACACAACTATCACTTGTTTTATGTATTTCAGCAAAAGAACCACATATGGTCAAACTGAAGTTCTTTCAAAGGCTTTCAAATTCTGACTGCTGTTATCTCTCAGAGGGAACACCAGTGCTATTAAAAGAAAGGACCACAGCTGTTGAAACCAGGCAGTGAACAAGGCAATTCTTTCAGGAACTGAGCCCAGCTGAGCCTCTGTGCAACTGGTCAAATAGCACACTTCTATGCTTTAGAAATATGGAACACAGGGAATCAATCCTGCATCAATAGAGAAAAATAACTGAAACTCAGGAAGTAGTTTTTATTCAGCTTTTTATTTGTAAAAAATCCAGAAAATGTGTAATTATTTGATTTTGTTTCTTCCATCCCCCTCCAATGATCACCTTGCATTTACTAAATGTACCTTTGGTAATGAAACTGTTTCACTGACAAATGCAAACTGCTTTTAATAATCAAGAAATTTCAATTACAGGTACTCAATTTTAAGGCTATATCATAGCGAATTTCTAATTAATTGCTCCAAGCAAAATAACATTACACCCTAAGTTTTCAAGGCACAATTTTCATGTGCAGTTATTGTCCATACCAAAATCGTAAAAATTCATATTACTAAGTTTTGCAAGTTCTCTTTAAAGCAAAGGCAGTTTTCTTTACAAGATGAATTTTACATCAGCTACATTCTAATGGCAGTTTACAGGAACTTTGTAACACAATTTTCTCATGTCTTCAGACTTGATTTTACAAACCTGATTATGCTTTTTTTTCCCTTGTAATATTTAAAAGGCTGCATTTTGCCAAGCGTTGAACTATCAAGAATTTGTGTCAATGTTATTCAAGGTCACAAAAAGAACCAGCTTAGTCTCAGTTAACAGTAATTCATTCATGAGCTTGTGAAGGTGTGAGTATTCAAAATGTCAACATAGCAACAAAATCCACATGCTTAAAAATGCTCCCTAATGGACAAAAGACTAAACATTTTATTCTGCTGTTAAAACCCATTTGATTCAATTATTACTAAGGTTTTAATTTTTAATGATAGTCTTCAGTTTATGGATAAACAGCTAAATCATATTCAAGAACCTTGACTTCCAGTGTAACTGTAAACACAAAGGAAAAGGACAGAGAAAGGTGGAAATGGGCTGCAGACATTATGGTTTCCTAGAAGAGGCAAGTTCTTTCTCATTCTACTTAGCAGTGCAGGAAACTAAATTTGTTCACAAAGTTCAGCTGCTTCAGTTCAAGAATGCCACATAACATTTGCTGACAACTCTTTCCCCCAGGAGGAGGAAAAAGCAACATTCACTGTTACTCCATACGATATCCTCAGTTTTTAAAACAGTATTTTTTATGAGATAGGTCTTCTGGAATTATAAACTTTAATACCATTTTGCATTGAGCATCGAGCATATTTTGTCAGAAGCGCACCAACCGTCTGCTTCTCTGCACATAAGTCTCTACAGAGGAAATAAAGTAGATGACGTTAGCATTAAACATGCTTTCAGACACGATGTTCGGTGAAATGACTGTAAATATGGCCATAAGCTGGACTTGGGTATTGGGAGAAAATCACAAGAGTTACTCTCTGAATGCTCTGAATTACCTAAAGTTTAGAACTTGGCTTGAAATTTAAGGAACAGGAAAGATCATGATTGCCTTGAGAAGCAAGGCTTTTGTTTTGTTTTAAATTATTATTACTGTTCTCTCAAACTAGCTTTAAAATAATTATATTAAAGTAAATTTAGAGCCACTCAAAAAAATTAATGAAGTAGCTTCTGGGTTACCATTTATGCCTGTCCACATGCATCCTGGCTTGGTCTTCCACATAACATTGTAACGTAGGACAAAAAAGGATGCAGTTTAGGAAGCACTACTGCTGTACAGCTCTTGAGTTGTAAATATGGAGACTAAGTAAAGATTCAGGATATTTTCTTTAGCTGACGTCTGCCTCCATCAAATCAGTTCTCATTAAAATTCAGTGGATCAGCTTTTTACACAAGTTCAAATCCAACAAATATAGCTATAGTTCACATGAGTGGGGATTCTATTCATGTAGAATTTGTAGTAATTTAAAACACAGTACTTCAGATATAACTACATAGCTGAAAGTCAGCCATGCAGAAAGGGAAGAATATGAACTCCAATTATAGCATAGTTCTGCTTAATTGACTTCTTTTTTTTAATACAATCTTATTTTAACATATCCTTACTGGATATAAGGGGTAATATCCGCTTCCGTCCATTTTTCCCGTATGCTGAATAAGCTGTTGAATCTTTCCTGATTGTCTTCAGGTAAGTCTTCTACTTTTAGCAGAAAGATGGTCTCTGGTCTTGAGGCTTTATCCACAAGAGCCAAACCCTGTAGATCAGCATCACAGAGAAAGCTTTAATTAAAATGAAAACAATTGAACTTTCTTCATTCTGCAGTGAATGCATAAGAAGTTACTCTCTGTATCTCCAAAGCCTCCTAAAACTCACTGCTAGCTGCAAGGAGATGTCAGAAATAGTACTTAAAAGCTGACAGAAATACAATCAACCCCCACCAATCATAAAATCTAGATATAACACTAAAGAATTCATACTTTGTATTTTTACCTTAAGCTGATCAAGCCTTGTTGACATCCCTTCAGGGACACTTTGTTGCCAGACTTCATGAAACTCTGATAAATTGAATTTAACTGCATTTTGCAAAAGCATCTGCGCTATAGCTCTGCATATTTTATCTTCATGCATTTCAAAGTAAACCTCCCCTGCTGAGAAACAAAAGACACAATAGCTTGAATTCTTGCTTTTTTTGATAGAACAGAGAACAGCCTCAAATTTCCATTCTGTTCTAGTCTTCTTCATTGATATCTTGTCATGCTGAAGAACAAATCATCTTCTTTTCCCTTTTTCCACAGTAATGCTTTCCCACAGTTTTCATTCCTACCTCTGAATAACTTGTATTAATGTGTTTGCTGCCTTAGTTGAACAATTAAAACTTTTATTTCTGCAGTCATCCCCGTAATATCAGATTACAGGAATAAGGAGAATTTCTTTCTACTCTCACTTGGCTGAAGTTCTTTCAAAGTCAGCCATATTGCTTTCCACCTTTTCAGTCTCCCTATAATTCAAAACTATTCCTTGTGCAATGTGCTTCAATATACTCATCAGAGAAGGACAATCTATGTCATACAACTGCTCTCCTGTGCCCTGTAAGGTGGTGTGCAATTTCTACTTTGGTCAAAGGTGAGATGAATACAGCCATGAAAAAGAATTTAAATGAAGGCACTGACCGATTATGTACATAGGTAAGACAGGCAATGGAGATGGCTGCTTCTTACAATAAGAATTCAGGGACATCTATAATCTGCTGCACAATTAATATTACTATCAACTGCTTAAATACGTGGCATCCAAGATCTCCTACAGTATCTATAAGGAGATTGCATTCAGTTTGTAAAAGCAATCTACCTTCAGTCACAAAACCACTGTTTGTAAACATCTAAAATATCACTTCAGGTACTTCTGTCAGTTCATTAATTTTCTCTCGTGTCTCATACAGTTGAGCAGCTTTTTCCTATGGAACTTTCTCTAACAATTTTACTAATTTTTTATCTCGCTGTTTACTTCTTTCTTTTACTTAGTGTTTAGTTTTAGTGTAGCACGTTAATTTGTTCGAGCCATCCTCATAAAGTTTTCAGTTACTCAGTAACTATTTTGTTTTTCAAATTCAAAACATACCTGCTTTTCCAAACTTACCATCATCAGTGTATTTCCTTCCATAGCTTAAAAGAATATGCTCTATCATCTCTCTGAGGAAAAAAAAAAAAAAGGCAAATTTTAAAACCGTGTTATAAATTTGCTGTTTGTATCATATTTCATGTATTTTTCACAAGTGCTGCCCCTCGGTTGTCCATCTTCAGGCCAGTACTCTTCAGCATGTGTATCAGTGACACAGACAGTAGGATCAAGCGCAGTCTCAGCAAGTTTGCTGATGACACCAAGCTGAGTGGTGCAGTTGACAAAACAGAAGGGAGAGATGTCATCCAGAGGGACCTGATCAGGCTTGAGAAGTGGGCACACAAGAATCTAATGAGGTTTAACAAGGCCACGTACAGAGCACTGCACTTGAGTTGAGGCAATCCCAGATATGAGTACGGACAGAAAAGAACACATTGAGAGCAGCCCTATGGAAAAGGTCTTGGAGGTCCTGATGGACAAAAAGCTGGACACAGGCCAGCAGTGTGCTCTTACAGCCCAGAGTGCTGGGCTGCATCAAAAGAGGGGTTACCAGCAGGGCAAGGGAGGTGACAGTTCCTCTCTACTCTGCCCTCAGAGGCCGCACCTGGAGTACTGCATCCAGGCATGGGGCTCTCATGTCTTACAAAATAATAAATTGCAGTCTGTGTGTCTGTACATGAAAAACGTTTAGAAGAAGTAAGGAAACAGCTTATGGTGCTGGCTTACATCAAGGAACCAAGTAAATGGACACAGCGTTTGGAACTGATCTGTCCTCTAGAAAGCTAATAGCAGTGTTCTCCTAGGTAGAGACAGCTGAGAGCTACTAATGCCCTTCATATTTTACAGCCAAACAAAGTTTATCATTAATGCCCCAGTAAATGGAATCTAGAGTTATAAAACAACAATTCTAATAAATAATGAATAATGATTTAATTAATAATCATTAATCATGGCTTAGACAACTTCAAGTACTAAAAGTAACTGCTTACATGGGCTCTAGAGGTCCAAGCTCCTCGAGACACGTACGTAAAGGAACCTTATTCAAAGACCAGGACTCTGAGTCTATCAGCTGAGTCACGTGATTCAAGAGTTTCATCTCATAGTCAAATTCTAAAACTCTCCAACATCCTGTCAAACAGAAGAAAAAAACATCAGTGTTAAAAGGAAACTTCAGTACTTTGACTCAGTTCCTCTGAAGGAATATTATAGAAGTCTGGGTATTCCCATCCTGAAATAAGATGTGGAAAAAACTAATAATTTAGGCAGAAAACTGCCTGATCTAGTGGGGTGCAACCCCCCTCATGGCAGAGGGTTGGAACTAAATGATCTTTAAGGTTCCTTCCAACCTAAGCCATCCTATGATTCTACAAGTAATGAATACTCTTTAGAGACAAATACCTTCAATTACACAGGCACCAATAGCCTGCAGCTGGTGCAGTATTTCCTCTTCACTTGCTTGAATCAGACCTAGCAAATCTTCTGTTGTGTACTGCAACAAGGAAAATAAAGGAGATAAAACAGTTTATTCTTACGCCAATTTTACTTCAGCAAGCATGTAAAATGCATTATGCCATAATGAAAGAAAGAAGACTGATGACATTTTCCCCAGGATTCAGTTTTCTAAGTTTCACTACTCTCTGGAACTTCTCCTGTAATTTACAACAGTTTCTCAAAGGGTGATTAATATAAAAACCAGTCTAACTATAGAGAAGTCTTTGCGCCATGCATTCCCAGGATGTCAAACTAGCTCAAGTAGGCATAATAAATTAAGTATCACAGCAAGACTGAAAACTGAGTGTGTTCTATCTTTCCTAAATCACGTATCTTCAAGAAACTCTCCACATAAAAGGGGAAATCACAAATCTCTTTCAGTGCTGATTCTTTTATTACTGGAAAACTGATAGATAACCAACTTGTCACTGTAAGTGCTAATAATTACCTATGTGTAGTAGATTTAAAATATAATTTAAAGCAACACTGTGAAGCATCAGCAAAGCTATTTTTCTAGTTAAGAATCATCATTATCATAGATAGGTAGATAGATGATAGAATGTTTCTTCATTTTAATTTGCCCGTTGTCAACTACAAGGCAGAAGACTTACTTAGATGACTTACTTTTGACACCGTTGCAGTCTGATCTTTCACACTACCTGGCCCTTCATACGGATCTTCCATCAGAAGCTTCCTCAGTTTCTTCAGTTTAGGTCGACATCTCCTTAGTTCCCAATAGTTATTGGAGAAGCCAGCAATCTACAAGAAAACACAAGGACTCTTTCAGCATTTTAATCCACGATTCGGATTCAAAGGAGCTTAACCAAAACATTACCAACAAGAAGTTTTCAAATAGTCACTGAAAAAATAATATATTAATGGAGAAACTACTTTTAAGATGAAACAACCATTGTAATATTTTCAGTCAAAAAAAGATTACCAATAGTAACAAAGAATGAGCCTATAGCTGATTGATAATATACATGTTTGCAGTGAACATGACTGAGGGACCAGTATGCAGAGATGAACAAATGATAGGCTGTCACATAATCACTGTCTAGAACTTAGTGTTAGGATAAAAAAACCTTCCTATATTACCCTGTTTCCATCTTCCCTCGTTCCTCCCATGGGTGGGATTTGCTCATGCCTTTTTACATCTCAATACTTGAAACTTCACATCATTAAGTAAAACATACATTAATAAGACAGTAGGCTACACTTCCGTGCAATAAACACAACATCTCTGTGCAATTAACACATCATCTCCATTTGTTATTCTGGTTCCATACAGATTCAAAAGGTCCAGCAGGAAGCTCAGGTGTAATCAGTTCAACTACACTCATCTGACAAATCTTGATCTTCCGAGTAGTTCTGAGGTGTTTCATAGGGAACAGCCTGCTTTTATTAGAAGATTCTTTTAAGAACGGAGGGTATCAAAGCCTTCCAGTATTGATTCTGCTGCAACAGCAGTGGGTACAGAATGGCAGAGGTGGAACAGGCTGCAGGTTTATGACCACCGTCCGAAACATTTCTTCCTTGTAAAAAAGCCTCCATGAAAAAGTCAAATAAATATCCTAAATGCTTTTTCAGACTTGTTTGTAAAGCTCGTCCATTTAAGAAAGAAAACCATAAAACAAGAAAACAGAACTTTGAAATAATGTTCCATTTAAATCAAACATACATGTTTGATACATGAAATAACCTGCATGTGGAACAAGTGCCATTCAAATTCTGACACTGAACAAACCCAGATTTTAACCCACCGTTATGTAGCTTGCTTAGCACAAATTTCAGCTATATTTTTATACAGAATTCTGTTTTCCTTCCTCCATGTGAAATTGCATTTACGTAAGTGTTAGCTTCTTTTTCTGCCAAGTTAATTTCTGAGCAATTTTGTGATAAATTACAAAGACACTCTACCCAGAAAAGAAAATAAATTGCTCTAATTTACACTTCAAAGTTCATAACTACAGCCAGTTCGTGCAAGCTGAATGAAATGGCACATGCTCTGGCTGTAACTATCAGTCTGCCAAGGGGTACAAAGCATGATCATGAGGTTCTGAGAGAAGGGCAATGAAGCCCCCAAACTACCCAGCAAGCGCAGCACCTTTTGCTGTGTCTCACAGTTTGCCTTCTTAATACACCACGTAACGTTTCTGAGAACATGAAAAAAGCTTCCAGAAACAGAACTCTAGAAATTACTCCTATGCAAGTCACATTTACATTAAGCTGACAGATATGACTTCAGAGATTAGTGAGATCACTGAGAATAACAAAAAAAAATATGGAAGAAAATTATTTTCTCATTAATCTATTTTAGTTTGAATTAATTTTTTTCCACTAGCTGAACTTAGGACTTCATGGAAGAAATGACGATGTTGATATTGTGATTATTATATTCATCTTATTCATCTAAGGACAAGCAGGATTACTCCTCAATGATGTCATTATATCCATTAGAGCAAATAATGAGCTAGTAATATTTTCCTAACTATTTTCGGAAGAATTTTATTAACTACACTTCAGAATAGCAGAGAACAATGAATTCTTTGAACTCGGAGCTCTAAAGTCACCCACTCCAACAAACCTCCCCAGATGCTAGTTGCAAAAAAAGGGTAAACTTTGAATATACTTCTGTATTTAAAATATACTAATAATGACATGGTAAAATCTGCCTTTTGGGGAAAGCACTCATAAGAATCAATGTGCAAACAGCTAATTTTTAAAATAGCTGCCAACACTGAGAAATCAGATATTCTTTGAAATCTTTTAATACCTACCACAAGTAATTACTATCCACTCAAAATAAACATAAGTTTGAACTTCTTAGAAACAATAATTAACATACATTACAGATGGAGTTCAGTTGCCTACACAAGAGCCCTAGAGCCATTTTGGTCACCCAAAGGTATAGCATGCCCCTTGTGTGTAAGGCTTGTTTGTAAAGACATCTCCTGGGGCTGTCAGATATACAAAGAAGCTACAGGAGATCTCCATCCTTCTGGAGTGGCAGCTTATAGCTGGACCAATACCACAAAGCACCGAAAATGGCACAAGTCTATGTTTAGGCAAATAAATGCCACTCAAAGTTTCACGTAAGCATCTTGGAAAAAAACACAAAAAATTACAGAGAATAAGGGATTCGAGAATTAAAGCAAACAAGCAAAAAACCAGAAAGGTATACCTGTGAATGAATAATATTACAAGATGCCTGATCTGCATTCAGCTCTTCCGGAGTTCTGCAGCCAGGAATAAACAGCAGCATATTTGAGGTATCTGCTATTTTCATGTCATAAGTTTTATCTTTGCTGCACAACACTGCTTGTTCATCCTTTTCACCACGGATTACCAGGCTGAAAAAAAAAAAAAAAAAAAAATAGCACTAAAACATGCATTTGTACCTCTATTTCTCTATTTCAGGATGAACATCTATTAAACTCATCTGATTTTTTTTCACATTTACAACTTAATAAAGAAGCTACAAACCACAGTTCTATTTAGTAGTGGCAGTCATGTTATACCAAAACGTAAAGACGTAATTGTCAGTTAATCTAAAATATCTTCTATGTTTGTTCAAGTTTTCCAACTCCGAAAGACAGTATCCAAGGCTTTTTACACAGATCATAGCCTAACCTCTTCATCTGTCTATTCACATAAAACCCTCAAAACAAGGGGCTAGTGATGCTTAAAGTGCATGAACCTTAGAAAGTAGATTATGACTAAAGTTGTTCTTTCCTGATGACTGAAACTAGCCCAACATAGAATGGGAAGCAGATAGAAACTATTGCACAGTGTCCTTCAGATAACTCCGTTAAAGAAACGTGCATATTTTCTTACAACTAACTCCAAGCAGAAAAAAAAACATAAATATCTAACACTTCCAGACAAGAATCAAGGCACAGCACTTTCTTCAGCCCACACACTTGTAAACAGAACTTTTTAGTGAGGACACAACACCAACACAAAAAAACTCAGCTATGCTCCAAGAACATAGCACCACTCAGGTCTGAGGTCTTGGAAACATTCGGCACCCCATCATCCTTCCAATAGGTACAAACAGCCCTGCTAACAGACATCACCCTCTCCACTCAGAGGGCAGTGAAGCACTGGCTCAGCTGCTCAGAGCAGCTGAGGTTGCCCCATCCCCAGAAGTGTTCAAGGCCAGGTTGGATGGGGTGCTGGGCAGCTGAGCTGGTGGGCGGCAGCCCTGCCCATTGTAGGGGGTTGGGACTTGGTGATTTTTAAGGTCCTGTCCAACCTAAGCTATTCTGTGATCTCTGAGGACTTTAGAGGGAGTTCCAGTGTTGTATCATTTAAAACATTTGTGTTACATCAGTGGCATTGCAGCTGGTAAAGGAAGAAATATAAAACAGTACCTAAAACTTATTCTCTGGCTTTGGGCCAGAGTTGGAAGATGTCACGAAACCATCCTTCCAGACACAACAAGCACTATGTATGGCCTTCACCGTCCTGTCTGTGTAACTTGCTGGTACTCTGCATCCCACCCCAACTATCTGCTACAGCAGGAAAACCTTATGAGTTACAGAATTGTAGAATCACCAGTGTTGGAAAAGACCTCCAAGATCATCCAGTCAACCGTGCACCTATCATTAATATTTCCCCACTAAACCATGTCCCTCAGTACCACATCTGAACGTTCCTTGGACACTTCCAGGGATGGCAACTCCACCACCTCCCTGGGCAGCCTGTGCCAGGGCCTGATCAGTGAGATTCTTTTAAGGCTGCCAGCTTTTTCAAAACAAATTTCAATGCAGCTGTCACCAGATGCCCAACAAGAAGTTCTTTCACTGCAAGAAACTTCAGTATTCAAGTTGCTGCCCTGGTCAGATGGAATGCAGTCTGCAAGCAGAACCTGAGCTTGTTTAAGGCACTGCCACTCAGCTGCACCCTGTAACAACACGCAAACCATGAGGACACTGACTATCCTACCCCCGTTTTTCTTACTGTGCAAGCTCAGGAGAGCTATTTTGATGAAATAATCGTGGAAGATTTGGAAGAGTTGGAAGAGACCCACAGGGACCAGCAAGTCCAACCGCTGGCTCCACACAGAATCGCCCAAAACGAAACAATCTTTCCGAGAGCACCGTCCCAGACCGCCGTCAAGGCGCGTTTGAACAAACCGCGTCCCTTCACACCACCGCGGCAGTCACACCCACAGACGAGCAGCGCCCGGCAGCCCGCGCGGCCCGGCCCGTACCTGCGGCCCGCCTCCAGCTCGGCGCACAGCCCCGCCTCGAGCTGCAGCAGGCAGCAATCGCCGACGCCGCCCTGCGGGCCGAAGCTGAGGCAGTGCACTGCCGGCAGCAGCTCGGCGGGGTTCAACTTGGCGGTGCGCAGCGTGGCGTCCACCTCCGCGCGACTCCGCATGGCGCCCGTCGGGCTCCGAAAGCGGCGCCAAAGCACAGGGGGCGGGGCGGGGCGGGGCGGGGCAACGCGGCGGAGCGTTTAGGCGGGCGCCGCCGGCGCGGGCGTGCTGCGTTGATTCTGTGGTTGCCGGTGCAGCAGTCGGCTCAAGCTGGTGGGACGGGCGGCTGCACACGGGGCTGCTCGGAATCGGCCTTCTCAAGTCCGCTGTGTGAGGCTTTGGCATCTATTCTGCGTTCAGGCTTTGTTTCCGCGGAGGCTGGAAATCAATCCACTGTGTACAATAGGAAGCCAGAAGCGCTTTTAGCTTTCAGTCTCTAGTAATGAGCAGGTGCTCACTGGTGCGTGTCCAGACTCATTTCCTTTAACAAAAATCATAAAATCACTGTTCCATCAAGTAAAAGTTCTCTGTTACTGCTTAAATAAGTTGAATTGTAGTAGTTTTCATTTGTATTTTCCAATCACCTTGCATGCCTGCTGCTTCTCCTTTCTCCTCTCTGCAGAATAATACTAAAGAGAAATCAAGGAACTAAAGTCAACACTAATGGAGTTTGTGTCTTAACAAGCTCTGTCACTTATCAGATACCTAACTGGAAGAAAATCATGGAATCCTAGTTTGACTTGGGAGTCTTAAAGACCATCTAGTCCAACTCCCCTATGATAAGCATGGACACCTACAGCTAGATCAGGGTGCTCAGAGCCCGTACAGCTGACCGGCAGGGACAGGGCATCCATCCCCTCTCTTGGCAACCTGTTCCAGAGCCTCACCACCCTTACTGTAAAAAAAACTTTTCTCTTGCATCCAGCATAAGTGGCTTTTCTTTTAGTTTGAAACCATTTCCCCTTGTCCTATCACAACAGATCATGCTGAAGGGTTTCTCCCTTTCTTTCTCCATAAAGTCCAAACACAGCCTAATTATACTACCCTAACTAACAACCCATTGCAAAATCAAGTCCCTGAGCACCACATTCAAATGGTTTTTAAACACGTTCAGGGATGGAGACTCAGCACCTCCCTAGGGAGCCTATTCCAGCGCTTTACAACCCTTTCAGTAAAGATATCCAACCTAAACCTCCCCTGGTGCAACTTGAGGCCATTTCCCCTCATCCTGTCACCTGCCACCAGTGAGAAGAGGCCAACCCCACTCAGTGCAATCACCTTTCGGCTATTTGAGAAGAGCCGTAAGGTCTCCACTCAACCTCCTCTTCCCCAGGCTAAATGGCCCCAGTTTCTTTAACTAGCTTCTCATAGGCCATATTCTCCAAGCCCTTCACAAGCCTAGTTGGCTTTCTTTAGACCTGTTTCAGCAAGCTCAGTGTCCTTTCTGTATTGAGGTGCCCAAAGCTGAACACAACACGAAGTCATGTGGATTGTATCAAAACTTACTGAACCGGTGAATAAAAATTGTATTTTTTCTTCTTTGGCCTCCCAAATAAAGAGGTCAGAAAGTAAATACAACCTTAATGCTAATGTGACACAGTCCGATTTCATAGCAAAAAGTTGTGCAGATTGGATGAAAGGCCACTGAACTAGAAGCTTCCCAATTGGTTTCACTGTGACTGGTCAAGAAAAACAGGATGTTGCTTGTCACTGGCATGTTTTAAGAAGGAATGAAAATGCAAATTGGCTTTAAACTATTGTTCTCTCATCTTGAAGGTGAAGGAAGTGGTGTACATCCTCAATAATTACTTTTTGCTTGCATAAAACCTTTTATCATGACTGGTGATGGAATGTATTCGGAGCTTTCCCAAAGTTGTTTTGTTTGCTTAATTACTCAATCTGCTTGGGCATTTTCACCTTGAAATTCTGCTCTTGGTCTCAGTAATTCACTTATGAGTGGATGGAGGCGTACTTCATTAGATTGTTCTAATTGGGAGTTACCTATAATAGCTGACATTCTTTCTGCTTCATATTGACAGAGGCTTGGGTGAAGGTGTGAAGTGCGCTGCAGAGGGGAAGGGCTTGGGAAGCTTCTAGTTCAGTGGCAGTGATTAACCAAGGTTAAAACTGGTGTATAGTTTGAGTCCTACTTATTTTCTTTATAGAAATTGCAGCAGCTTGAAGAGTGGTACTAGAATTACTTTACTTGAATGAACTGACAGAAAAGCAAGTGCAGTGAACTGATGGGACTGTCACCATGAAATTTTCCAAATTTAAGAGAAATTTCTTGGAGGGGGAAAATAAAAAATGCTTTTCATGATAGTTTTTCTTTTCTACGCTTTTTTGCTGAAGATCATTAGGCCACATATTTTGGAAACTTTTATGTAAGCTAGAATTGCCCTTTCTTTAACTGCAGGTTCTCAGAAAAAAAGACAAATAAACTTAGAATTCTTAGATTTCCTGCTTGAAAATGAACCTATTAAATTAACTATAAGATTATAGAATGGTTTGGGTTGGGAGTGATCTAAAGATCATCTACTTGCAATCCCCTTGCTATAGGCAGGGACACCTCCCTCTAAACCAGACTGCTCAAAACCCCATGCAGCCTGGCATTAAACATCTCCAGGGAGGGAGCATCCACAACCTCACTGGGCAACGTGTTCCAGTGTCTCACCACCCTCACAGTGAAGAATTTCTTCCTACTATCTAGTCTAAATCTATGCTCTACCAGATTAAACCCATTTCCCCTTGTCATGTCACTCCTTCTCCCTATAAAAAGTCCCTCCCCAGCTTTCCTGTAGACCTTCTTCAGGTACTAAAAGATCTCCCTGGAGACTTCTCTATGCTAAAAAGCCTCAGTTCTCCCAGCCTGTCCTCATAGAGGAGATGCTTTAGCCCTCTGATTGTCTTTGTGGCCCTCTGGACTTGCTCCAGCAGCTCAATGTCCTTCTTGTGTTGGTGCCCCAGAACTGGGCACAATACACCAGGTGGGGTCTCACAAAAGCAGAGCAGAGGGGCAGAGTCACCCCTCTCAACCTGCTGGTTGCACTTCTTTCAATGCATGCCAGTACACAAATGGCCTTCTGGGCTGCAAGTGTGCATTGTGAGCTCACGTTGAGTCTTTCATCAACAAACACTCCCAAATCCTTCTGTGCTCTCAAGCAATTCTCCACCCAGCCTGTATTTGTACTTGGGACTGCCCCAACCCAGGTGCAGAAGGACCAGATCCACCCGAGAGTGCTGAGGGAACTGGCGGAAGTGATAGCCGAGCCGCTTTCCATCATCTGTCAGCGCTCCTTGCTGACTGTGAGGTCAACAAAGCCTTAGCACGAATGTGATCTGTGACATCCTTGATTTCTGTTCTGCAAAGTTGTTTTCGTTGGATGTTCTTCTGTTATTGTTGTGTGTAAGTCAGTACTTTATGTAGATAAAACAAGTTTATCTTAACGTATATTTTTAATGTTCAGAAAGCCTTTCTAAGTGTTTTTATTTTGTATTCTTTCCCTGTATTTGTTGATATTTTGTGATGAATAGCGAACTCAGACAGGAGGAGTACGGTCTTCTGAGATCAGTGCGTTCAGCTGTCCTCTGCAATGCACAGCACCTTAACCTCGTGTTGTGTGGTTTGTGAAGTACTGCAGTCAGTGCCTTTGTCACAATGTAGATGTGAATGTCTTCCAGATGCTTCCAGTGCCTCTTCTTAAAAGAAAAGGATGGATAAATTGATAAGCCCATATCATCCTTTCTCAGATACATATTTTTTTCTGCACAAATCCCTGGTGATGTATATTGTACAGCACGGTATGTGAGGGTTTTAAAACAAGTCTGATTCTGACATGTGAAATCCAATGCCTTTAGAAAACTCTTAGTGCAGTTCAGAGACTTTTTTGGTTTTGTTTTTTTAAATTGCCTGATAGCATCTCAGGTGGCTTTCCTGGAATTAACAACAGAAAGACAGTCTGGGAGAAAACGTTTCCACAAAGATTTTTTGCTATGGCATATTTTCAACAATTAAAATCCCAGCTTGAGAGGCAAAGCCAGGCTTGGTATTGAAACTTCCTAACATGATGCTTGGTCTTGCTTCTAACAGTGACAATCTTTATACTGGAAAATAGTATTTTTAATATTTATTAATTTAATGTAAATTATTAGTTGAATTATATTTGTAAATAATTTTCTTAGTGACAAAGAGAGAATCTATTTGTTTATTTCTTAAAAATGAACTGTATTTCACCAAAAATATATGTAAGAAATATCAGAGCAAGACTCTGTTTTAGAGGTCAATTCCTCTTCAAACCAGTGGAGAAAATTAATGTGACAACTTTTTAAATTAACGTAAGATGGGGGAAGGTTTTGTTTTCAAAAAACAATTGTATCGTGATGAAATATGTAGCAGTATCTGTTGCTGGTATGTCACCAAATACCTAACTGTGCAATCCCCAAGTGTGCTTTCTTATGTGTGTTTTCTTGTTTCTTTCTAGTGTGTGCCAACATTTCTAAACTATGTGGGATTTTTTTTCCTCTGTATTGTTTGGATGAGTATTAATGAGAAATGAATGTCCATTTGTTTCTTTCTATTCATTAAAAATCTTAAAAAACAGTATGAGTCTGAAGACTTTAAAAGAAGTGCTTTATGGGAGTAGCTTACCTTGTTTATGCTATACTGCTTATGCGGCAATAGCGAAGGCAGGAGGAAGAAAAGCGTGCATTCAGAATTCACACATTAATGTATATTACTTGTTCTGTAACTTGGTGAGTATCACAGATTTGTTTGGGGTGTGCATGGGGTTTGCTGAGCTCATTCTCTGAGTGACTTTGTTGGAAATGTCTTTGTAATGGAGATGGAGTGGAGAAATCCCCAGTCTTTTCTGTAAGAGTTTCTGAGCTGCATACAATGCACTCTTGTGCCTCGTCCCTTATCACCATACAATCGTATGCAGTCAGCTCTCTGCATGGCAGCTCAAAGATTTCATCCTTACAAGGAGTGACTGGAAAGGAAGAACCAGGAGCATTCCTCTCACACAAACTTGATCTTCAGGCTATGCACAAACATCTCCTGTTGTTCATCTCAGTAACAAAGCACACTTCTACAGTTTTAGAAACTTAGAAGCCTCACTGTGCCATGAGTTGTTCCCTGTTACTGTGAGCGGTTCCCACGAGC